GTGAAGAGAGGACAGGAGGAGAGGGAGACCTTGGTGACTGCTTCCTTCCTAACCTCTGAGATTTTCATTCCTCCTCATCCTTACCAGGGATGGATGAGAGAAAGCAGACCACATGGCAACACGAGTTTAGATTCTAACTTAAAATTATATATGTTCCTTCTTACTAGTGGGAGAAGGTAGTAAGTTTAAAAGTTAGTAACTCTATTAGCCCAGAGTATTATAACTGGCGTGGAACACCTCCAGGGGTGGTAAGCACATACCTTTGGTCTTGTAACTTTCCCCATGATCTGCTCATTGTTTGTTGGCTGATCTCCAGTGCAGGGCGAAACACTCTAAAAATCACTAGTCAAAAGGAAAGACTTCAGCTTACTTAGGGCAACTTCCTGCATTTCTACCCAGTAAGTGCATAGGAGTTGGAACAAACCTTTTATTGCATTTTGCTGACAAAAACAGAAAAATAACCCCCCCAGGTCTCATAGACACATTCAGTTTTCTCCCTACTCATGTTCTGCTTTTATAGTCCATTGCACAGTCACCTTGCATGCAATACCTCTTCTAGCCTAAGGGCAAGCATAATCTGTTTGCACAATTGTGCTTGTAACAGCAAATATTCAATGATATGACAGAAGTAGCACTGTAAGGACCTTCCTTTCTCATACCCTAATCTATTTTCTCCCTGTCTGTGTATGAATACCTGTGCTTCATCTTCATAAAAAATGAATTGTTGGAGAGAAATACTAGAGAAAGCTTTACACAAGCTGAGATTTTGATGTATTAGTAGTAATATATGGTGTACTATGTTTGTTAGTGCAGTAATCATGTCACCCATATTTGAGCTTATTCATTCAGAACTAGCTTGGGGATCACTTCAAGGCATGAAAACACATTAGCAGACATCCTTAGACAATGTGCTCAAAAGCACATTGATAACTTCTCTGCTTCTGCACGTCCAGCACTTCACCTTCAAGTATTTTAATGGATCTGGTTTTTACTATTTTTCTTAAAGCAATGTATGCACTTCTTTACAACCACCATGGGCTTCTTAAAACAATTAATGATTCTGCACGTTGTGCAAGATACTTTAAAGAACATGGTTTTCAGAAAGTGCCAGGCCTCCTTCTTGAGAACAATCAGCCTTGTAAAGTGCCGCATGTTAAACGGCTTAGAGCAGAGCTCCCAAAATTAGTCTTCACTTTCATAAACATTGGCCAATTTGATTTAATTTAGGATCTGGGGAAGTGCTGTGTTCTGTCTCATATGACTGTCACTAAGCATACAGCACCAGGGTGCCAGGTCACAAGGCATTCTTGTGTTCCTACAGCTTTATTGTAACCTGGTCCTGTTTCTTGTTTTATCTTTCTCGACCCGACTTTCTGAATCTTAGCATGTGTTGGTTTTTTTTTTAACCTGTGCACATCGACAGAGACTCTGTGGGTCCAGGAAGGAGAAGGTGTGTAAGGACAGCACTCTAGGAAGCTTCGTAGTAAAATCTAGAGCTTCAATGGGAATTTGATCCTGTAGCTGCTTGGCACGTAATTTCTGCAAGGACGGGGAGCAGAGCTCCAACTGATCCACCGGGAGCTTCTGACTCTGACCATCTGTCCCCTTGATAAACTGAAAAAAAGAGTTCCAGGTTGTGAGAAACTGGAGATCCAGTTTGTTAAAATAAATCATACATGTAAGGCAAGGGAAAGCATCAAAACAGCAGCTTTTGATGACTCACTCAATAGCAAAGCACGTAGGAACTGGGAACAAATGGAGAGGCTACATTAAAAGAAACTCTGAAGCCACATAACGTACGATTTATAATCCTCAAAGGATCCAGGATGACCTTGTCCAGGACACAGTCATCCTCACAAAACTAGGATCAGTTTGGAAAACTTGGCTTCAGTCATGAAAAGGAGACTCAGGCGTGTGTTTGCAGGATTGGGTCCTAATTTGACTGCTGCTTCCTCGCTTATCCTGACCCATATACGGCCCCCAAAACTGCTGAAAAAGTATTTGAGTGCCTCGCAATTTGTGAAGTATTTATTCCCACAGTATGCACAAGAGAGAAATCCCCACTGCTTTGCAAAGAAGCAGAGCAAAGAGAAATTACATCAGTTGCCTGCATCTCCCAAGGAAAACGTGACACAGACCTGGCAGCACAGTAAGAGATTTTTCATGGCATTTCTGCGCTTATGACAGATATCTAAAGAGGAGGAGGAAAACAGCTGGACCTCACTGTGGGAAGAAATGAGCACTTAACCACACAAGCACGTATCGCTTGATACAGCAGCAACAACAGCACTGCACTGAGCAGAGAGGAGCAGGGCGGTGTAAACAGGTTGGGAACAACAGCAGCCATAGCTGGTGTTTAGCTGTGTTGACAGCAGGGGATAGAAAGGGCCCTGTCAGCAGGAATCTCCTGGGAGGAGACCGACCTCATCGCCACAGTCTGTGCAATCCGTCTCAGAACCTGCAGGAGCAGTCCTGGCTGCGAGGGCAGCACGGAGCGCCAGCGGGGAGGACGTGGCAGAGGACCGTTTAGGCAGTGCCAACAGGAATCCCCAGTGGGAACCACTGGCAGCAGAATGGTACAGAGAAAGGTGGACTTCCAGAGGCATCCCGATTAGTGCGGGAGGGGGTTTGCGAGCACCCCGGAGGTATTTGAGATCCCAAGGAGTGGGATGAGATTACTGCGGCTCTTGTGGAGCATACGATGAGCGCCCAGTCGGGTGCGGCACTTCGGACACGGGGTTTGATGTTGGGAATATTAAAAACAGCAAAGGAGAAAGGAGAAGCGACGGAGGCCTCCCTCAACTTCAAGCCATTTCCCCTCGTCCTGCAGTTGTCAGCCCTTTCCAAGAGTTGAATTCCCCTCCTGTTTGTAGGCTCCCTTTAGGTACTGAAGGCTGCAGGGAGGTCTCTCCGCAGCCTTCTTTTCTCCAGGCTGAACAAGCCCAGCTCCCTCAGCCTGTCTTCATAGGGAAGGTGCCCCAGTCCCCTGATCATCTTTGTGGCCCTCCTCTGTGTGGAGGAGGACAGAAGTGCACTTGCAGAGGATCTTTCTCAGTGTGATTAACTTTGCTGGACCCACCACTCCTCCGGGGTGTCCCACAAAGTTCCCAGGGTGTGAGCAAAAGCCTTTTATGAATCATTTTTTAATCCGCGTCCCCTAGTCCTGGGATACTGCACTACTTCAAAGAGCATTGCAGCTTTCACCTCACCCTCTTTCCAAACTCTAGCACTGTAGGTAGAGTTCTCTGATGCTTTTAACAAAGTATTTTGACAGAATGCCTCCTGTTGAAATAGTTGCTCCAATGTTATTTGTCAGCTGAGAAGCGTTCCTATGTAGCCTGTCCCAAAGACTTATGTGAGGTTTAGGGTTCCCGTGTGCTGGTCATGAATCAGTGTCAAAAATGGGACAGGCCCTGTTCAAAGAGTTTGGAAGTTGCTTGTTCCAGCACTGAGTTGTAGATGCAGCTGACAACCAGAGGCAAATGATTCCAAGTTGCTAATCATACAGTAAACTGAGTGTTTTCTTCTCCTAAGAAAGATTTGAGCCTCTATCCATTTGTGCAGCGGAGGATATTTTAATGCCTAGTGATCTAGCAAACCTGGCTTTTATCCGTAATTACAGAGGATTATAGCAAGGAGAAAAATGAATTCTAAGAGATTTACTTGTTTATCAAGGATCTCCCTTTAATATCACTTAAGCTGAAAGTAATCTTGCCTGTAATGACTCTTACTTAGCAGTACAGGTGTGTTGTTTCAAGTGCTGACCCAGCTACCTGCTCATGTAATGGTGTTTCTGCAGACAGTGTCCCCTCTGCAGCCCCTTTCCAGAAATCCTCCCACTAAGGCTTTGTATTGCATCCTCCATCCTTTCAGCTGCATGAGGACCTGGTCTCCTGCACCTCACCTGCTCCTTGTCTGCAGCAGGACTGGTGGGACACTACACTCCAGGCTTGTGTTTTCCTCCCATGGCAGCAGCAATGACAGCAAGTAGGCAGCTTGGTAAGAGATCCAAGTGGTCACAAAATGGTAAAGCGCTCAGAGCCCTTCTCTAATGCCAAGGTGTCATGGTTCTATGTATTTTGTTTTTTTGGGTTTCAGTATTCCACATCAAATCTTCATGCAGTGTACGGGGCATTAAAGTGTCACTGCCCCAGTCCCAGGTACCTATCCCTGTACATTACAGCAGTCACGGGATCTGGCCCTTCCAGGTGGGGGGGGCCGCTCTCTTGCTGCCTTGCAGTGGGTGCTGAAGGGTGCTTTCCTAGCTCTGCGTCTCTCTCCGGCGCCGCGGTGGAGTCGGAGACCCACCTAACATGGCGCCGCGGCGGCACCGCCCTGCCTTCCA